CCACAACACTGACTCAAGACCACCTGAACCCAACAGACCTCAGGACCACCCGACCCCTGTGCCCTGAGACCACCTCAACCCAAGACCTAGACCCCTGACCCCAACATGACTGGGACACCCAACAGACCTCAGGACCACCCTGACCCCCACAACACTGACCGGACCACCCTGAACCCAACAGACCTCAGGACCCATGACCCACAACACTGACTAAGGACCACCTGAACCCAACAGACCTCAGGACCACCCTCCCACAACACTGACTGAAGGACCAGACAACAGACCTAGGACCACCCTGACTCCCCACTGACCTAAGGCCACCCTGGACCCAACCAAGACCTAAGGACACACCTGACCCCCTGACCTAGGACCACCTGAACCCAACAGACCTCAGGACCACCCTGACCACAACACTGACCTAGGACCACCCTGAACAGACCTCAGGACCCACCAGACCGACACCCCCAACCTGACCTAGGACCACCTGAACCCACCAGGACCACCCCTGACCACAGACCTAGGACACCTGGACCCAACAGACCCAAGGACACTGACCCCAACACAGACCTCAGGACCACCCCTGACCCACAACACTGACCTGAGACCACCCTGAACCCAACAGACCTCCAGGACCACCCGGCCCCTAGCACTGACCCCTGGGACCACCTGACCCACACGACCTAGGACACCCTGAACCCCAACCCACCAACCTGACCTAGGACACCCCAGAACCCAACAGACCTAAGGACCACCCATGACCTCCCACCACTGACTCTGACCAAAGGACACCTGAACCCAACAGACCTCAGGACCACCCTGACCCACCAACATGACCTAAGACCACCCTGAACCCAACAGACCCAAGGACCACCCAGGCCCCCCACTACTGACCTAAGACCACTGAACCCAACAGACCTGGGCACCCCTGACCCACAACACACCTACAGGACCACCTGAACCCAACAGACCCAGGACACCCATGACCCCACAACACCGACCTAAGGACCACACAGACAACAGGAATTCAGGACCACCATGACCCACAACACTGACCTGGGACCACCTGAACCCAACAGACTAGGACACCCTGACCCCACAACACGGCCTAGAGACCACCCTGAACCCAACAGACCTCAGGGCACCCCTGACCACAAGCCCTAGAGACCACTGACCCAACAGACCTAGGACCACCCCTGACCCACAACACTGACCCTAAGACCACCTGAACCCAACAGACCTCAGGACCACCCTGACCCCACAACACTGACCTAAGGACCACCCTGAACCCAAGACCCAGGGACCCTTGCCCACAACATGACCTAAGACACCCTGAACCCAACAGACCTCAGGACCACCCCAGCCCTAACACTGACCTAGGACCACAGGCCAACAGACCTCAGGACCACCCATGACTCACAACACTGACCCACCAGGACCCACAAACGACCCAACGACCTAAGGACACCTGAACCAACAGACCTCAGGACCACCCCATGACCCCACAACACCCTCAGGACACCCCCTGACCCCCAACCTGACCTAAGAGGCCACCTGGCCACAGAGCCCAGGACACACAGACCACAACATGACTGAGACCACCCTGACCCCACAACACTGACCTAAGACCACCTGAACCTGAACCCTACCTGAGACCACCCCTGACCCACAACACTGACCCTAAGAGACCACCATGACCCCCACAACGACCAAGGACCACCCTGAACAAGACCACCCCTGACCCACAACACTGACTAAGGACCACCCTGAACCCAACAGACCTCAGAGACCACCCATGACCCCACAACACTGACTAAGGACCCCCTAACCCAACAGACCTCAGGACCACCTGACCCCACACAACCTGACCTAAGGACCACCCTGAACAACAGACCTCAGGACCACCTGACCCACAACATGACCCTGGGACCACCCTGAACCCCAACAGACCTCCAGGACCACCCGACCCTACAACACTGACCTAAGGACCACCCTGAACCCAACAAGACTGAAGACCCCTGACCCCACAACACTGACCCTAAGGACCACCTGAACCCAACAGACCTGGAGGCCACCCCTGACCCACAACACTGACCTAAGGACCCCCTGAACCCAACAGACCTAGAGACCACCCTGACCCACAACACTGACCTAGGACCACCTGAACCCAACAGACCTCAGGACCACCCCATGACCCCAACACACCTGGAACCCACCCTGAACCCAACAGACCTGAGACCACCCATGACCCCACAACACTGACTAGGACCACCCTGAACCCAACAGACCTAGGACCACCCTGACCCCACAACACTGACCTAAGGACCACCTAACCCAACAGACCTAAGGACCACCCCTGACCCACAACACTGACCTAAGGACCACCTGAACCCAACAGACCTAGGACCACCCCTGACCTAACCTGACCTAAGGACCACCTGAACCCAACAGACCTCAGGACCACCCCACCCGACCCACAACACTGACCCAAGGACCACCCTGAACCCAACAGACCCTGGACCACCCCTGACCCACACACTGACCTAGGACCACCTGAACCCAACAGACCTCAGGACCACCCTGCCACTGACCTGGGACCACCTGAACCCAACAGACCTCAGGACCACCCGACCCCACAACACTGACCTAGGACCACCCTGAACCCCAACAGACCTCAGGACCACCCCTGACCCACAACACCTGACCTGAGACCACCCTGAACCCAACAGACCTCAGGACCACCATGACCCCAACATGACCCAAGAACCACCCCTGCCCTGCAGCCTCCAAGACCACCCATGACCCACAACACTGACCTAAGGACCACCCTGAACCCAACAGACCTCAGGACCACCCATGACCACAACACTGACCTAAGGACCACCCTGAACCCAACAGACCTCAGGACCACCCATGACTCACAACACTGACCTAAGGACACCTGAACAACAGACCTAGGACCACCTGACCCACAACACTGACCTCAAGCACCACCCAACAGACCTAGGACCACCCCTGACCCCAACACTGACCTGGACCCCTGAACCCAACAGACCTCAGGACCACCCCTGACCCCACAACACTGACCTAAAGACCACCCTGAACCCAACAGACCTCAGGACCACCATGACTCACAACTCGACCTGGACCACCTAACACAACAGACCTCAGGACCACACCCTGACCCACAAGACCTAAGACCCTGAACCCAACAGACCTAAGACCCATGACCCCAACACTGACCTGAGACCACCTGACAACAGACTCAGGACCACCCATGACCCACACACTGACCTGAGACCACCTGAACCCAGCCTGGACCACCCATGACACAACACTGACCTGAGACCACCCTGAACCCAACAGACCTAAGGACACCCATGACCCCAACACTGACCTAGGACCACCCTGAACCCAACAGACCCAAGGACCACCCATGACCCACAACACTGACCTAAGGACCACCCTGAACCCAACAGACCAGGACCACCCCATGACCCACAACACTGACCTAAGGACCACCCTGAACCCAACAGACCTCAGGACCACCCATGACTCACAACACTGACCTAAGGACCACCTGAACCCAACAGACCAGGACCACCCCTGACCCACAACACTGACCTAAGGACCACCCTGAACCAACAGACCTCAGGACCACCCATGACCCACAACACTGACCTAAGGACCACCCTGAACCCAACAGACCTAAGGACCACCCATGACCCACAACACTGACCTAAGGACCAACCCTGAACCCAACAGACCTCAGGACCACCCATGACCCACAACACTGACCTAAGGACCACCCTGAACCCAACAGACCTCAGGACCACCCATGACCCACAACACTGACCTAAGACCACCCTGAACCCAACAGACCTCAGGACCACCCATGACCCACAACACTGACCCAAGGACCACCCTGAACCCAACAGACCTAAGGACCACCCATGACCCACAACACTGACCTAAGGACCACCCTGAACCCAACAGACCTAGGACCACCCATGACCCACAACACTGACCTAAGGACCACCCTGAACCCAACAGACCTCAGGACCACCCTGACCCACAACACTGACCTAAGGACCAACCCTGAACCCAACAGACCTAAGGACCACCCATGACCCACAACACTGACCTAAGGACCACCTGAACCCAACAGACCTAAGGACCACCCCTGACCGACCTAAGGACCAACCTGAACCCAACAGACCTCAGGACCACCCATGACCCACAACACTGACCTAAGGACCACCCTGAACCCAACAGACCTAAGGACCACCCCTGACCCACAACACTGACCTAGGACCACCCTGAACCCAACAGACCTAAGGACCACCCCTGACCCACAACACTGACCTAAGGACCACCCTGAACCCAACAGACCTCAGGACCACCCCTGACCCACAACACAGACCCCAGGACCACCCTGACCCCACAACACTGACCTAAGGACCACCCTGAACCCAACAGACCTCAGGACCACCCATGACTCCACAACACTGACCTAGGACCAACCCTGAACCCAACAGACCCAAGGACCACCCCTGACCCACAACACTGACCTAAGGACCACCCTGAACCCAACAGACCTCAGGACCACCCATGACCCACAACACTGACCTAAGGACCACCCTGAACCCAACAGACCTCAGGACCACCCATGACTCCACAACACTGACCTAAGGATCACCCTGACCAACCCAACACTGCCCTAAGGACCACCCCTGACCACAACACTTACCAATGACCACCCCTGACCCACAACACTTACCTAAGGACCACCCTGACCCACAACACTGACCTAAGGACCACCCTGACCTAAACAGACCTGAGGAGGACCACCCTGACCCCCAACAACACTGACCTGAGGACCACCCTGACCCAAACAGACCTGAGGAGGACCACCCTGACCCCACAACACTGACCTGAGGACCACCCTGACCCAACCAGACCTGGAGACCACCCTGACCCACAACACTGACCTAAGGACCCACCTGACCCACAACAGACCTGAGGGCCACCCCTGGCCTAAGGACCACTGACCTGAAGTCTCTGTTTAACCTCGGAGGAGGCGACGGCGGAGTGCTCGTTCTTGTCCTTCTTCTGAGGGCCTCCAGCCGCTCAATCTCCTTCCTCTGTTTCTCCACACGTTCCTCCGCCCGCTGACTCTGCTGCTCCAGGTACTGCTGCTTGAGAGATAGATGGCAGAATTGATGGCCGCTGTCTGGTCTATACACACACGACACATACATACATATACACACATATACATATACATATACACATACATACACATATATACATACACACACACACACACACACACCGAGAGGGAGTTACTACACTACATGTTTGCTGTTCAACACCTCAGCTCACATGATCTACGTGTAAACATTAATCTGTATGTTCACAAATGTTCCTTCATCTTTCCAATGAAGGCTTTTGTTAAACCACCAATGTATGTAATAAGTCATTTATGTCCATGTATATTTTCAGCCTTCAGGCTGCAAACTTTTCAATAAACCGTTTATTATTATTATTATTATTATTATTATTATTATTAATTACATAATTTTATATATATATATATATATATATATATATATATATATATATATATATATATATATATATATATATATATTGCATACAAAAAACATACATACACACACACACACAAGGCTTTACATCCTGCTGTGTGGCTCCACTGAGTCACCACAACAACAATTACTTCCAAGTCACCGTCACAACCAACACGTTCTTAAAACACAACAAATATTATTTACAGGACACCGTGTTCTGGTACAATGTTGGAGCAGGTCAAGCATCAATAGGTACTGGACCAGGTGAGGCATCAATAGGTACTGGACCAGGTCAGGCATCAATAGGTACTGGACCAGTCAGCATCAATAGGTACTGGACCAGGTGAGGCATCAATAGGTACTGGACCAGTGAGGCATCATAGGTACTGACCAGGTCAGCATCAATAGGTACTTGACCAGTCAGAAATCAATAGGTACTGGACCAGGTGAGAAATCAATAGGTACTGACCAGGTGAGGAATCAATAGGTACTGGACCAGGCGGCATCAATATGTACTGGACCAGGTGAAAAGGTACTTGACCAGGTGAGAATCACTGGTACTGGACCAGGTGAGGGCATCAATATGTACTGACCAGGTGAGGCATCATAGGTACTGGACCAGGTGAGGCATCACAGTACTGAAACAGAGGCATCAATAGTACTGGACCAGGTGAGAAATCAATAGGTGCCGGACCAGTGAGAAATCAATAGGTACTGGACCAGGTAATAAGTATCACATCTTTTGGTCAACATGTTACACACACTAAGAAATGTTGATGGTGAGAACACCTTTACCCCAAAACCCTTAAACACTGCAACACAAACGAGCAACACCTGTGGATGATCTTCCCCCCACACACTTACAACTATCACTTCCACACTCTAACGTGGTCAAGGTCGATCGTTGTAGCATCAAACCAACCAGTTATTAATAGTATGGGAAGTGAGAGATGCAATCACCAACCGAGACACCGAGTGAGGAACACCTGGTGATTATTCTAACAAGGTGCTCAGGTGTCATAACTTGACAGATGGTATAAGATGATTACTGCACGGCCAACACACGACTACCCGCTGATTTACTTTACAAGAGCTAATAAAAAAACATTACACCTACAATGATATCAATAGGCGGTCAAGGTGCCGGGTGTTGAGGTGAGCAATGAACACAGCGGACTTCTATATTCTGTCTCTAGATGAAGTCCTCAAAAAACTAATCTGTAACTCGAGGATCGATGATTTTCACATGAACACAGCGACTCCTGTTGTCTCGGTAGGTTGCAAAATCCTTCGCCTGTTGTGTCATATTTTTTCAACGCAACTTTGTATAGATAATTTTGTGAGTGACTGTACAAACGTCCGTATGATCATTTCACAGAAGTAAAATATGAAATATATTAGAACTGGTTAACAAAGTCTGAATATTATAAACCATTCTACCTAAGCTACCTGGCCTCACCTGCCACCTGTTGCGGAATCTTTTACCTAATAAATATCACAGCGTTAAGTTAATTTATTTCTTTAGTGTTATTTGTATCCTATGTTACTTATGTTAAAAACCAGTTATGTCCACCATCTCAAACAAGTATCTGTCCACTCTGTGTGATTATGAGACCACAGATGATAGATATTGGCTCATCCATTTACCTTCAGTATATAGTTTAACATAAGAATGTAATGTGTATTTATTTGGACGTAATTAATATGATGTCCGGTTACCAAATGCATGTAACTTGCCATGCATACCAACCCTCCTGGGACACAGCCATACATACCAACCCCCAGACAGAGCCACTCATACCAACCTCCGGAACACGACCACAAGTACGCCCACCCTCCTGGGACACAGAGCCACATACCAACCTCCTGACACAGCCACGACACAACCCTCCTGGGACACAGAGCCACGCATACCAACCCTCCCGGGCATCAAGAGTTGCATGTAGTGTTTCAGAAGTCATTGGACCCATCTTGGCAGATACTTTATTGAGATATTGTACATTGTTATATCTCTAGTTACAGTGTGATGGTGGTGGGTAGTGAGTGGTTAAAGCATCTTAATTTGCACTCTTCGAGAGATGTAGAGTGAGGGCGATATGATAAGTGTATAAATGGAAGTCAGGGCTAAACAAAGGTGATATAACAAAGGACTAAACAATCAACCAAGAGCGAACTCGTAACATGTTTAAGTTAGACAAATTTAGATTTAGGCGTGAAAAGGTAAACATTGGTTTGGTAATAGAGTAGTGGACGAGTGAACAAAGTTACCAAAATCAACACCATTGAATACGCTGGATAGCTTCAAACATAGGGGGTGGATATATGAACGATAGGGTTGGGTGAAAACAGACTGTCCAGTAGGGCCAATAGGCCGGCTGCAGTTCCTCCATTCTTATGTTCTTATGTGTGGTGGGGTCATGGTCAGCCTCACCACACACCCTCACCTCCTCACAACATTGTTTTAAATTGCTAGAATGTATGAACCATGGGACTGGTGAGTCTAAATGATCCAAACTACAGCTACACATATGAAAATGTTTGACTAGACCACCTGTACAAAGTTGAGACACAACAGCGCTTCCTGCCACCCTAGCGGACAGTTCCTTGCATATCACAATACCGACGTATCCGCCAAAAAATTAATTATACAAAGCATTTATCTCCAACACACTGCCAAATTGAGAGCTCTTGAAAATACACACTCTACAGACTGATGATAATATCACACAGACCATCTACACTGATGGCTCTCTTAACACCGCCTGTGGAGGGCTGGAAGTGCTATTGTTGTGACTCAACCTGACGGTAATATAATTGAGAAAGGAGTTAGAATTAACTGGGCATCCACTCTACAAACTGAATTAGTTGCCATACTCACAGCACTAAATTAATTGAAACCACTGTTACTGACAGTCTCATCATCACTGACTCTCTATCCTCACTACTTGCCCTTGGTACCCTCGACTCAGGTTGTCACGATCTTGTCTCTGAAGCCAGACACAAATATTGCCTTGTTGACCGGGTGTCAGGGTCAAACTGTTGTGGATCCTCTCACATAGGCCTCATAAAACATGGTTGATGCCTCACCTAAAGACACCGTTGAATACAATTTGGGTCTGTCAAAAGAACCCTTAAAACTGTTAGAAAGAATTATTGATGAGTTTGACACAGAGAGACTAGTGCAAACAGGCACTAGTCGATCCATAGTTTACTATGATGAGATGTATCATGAAATGTATATGGAGCAAGTATCACAGATTACAAGATGTTGTAACTACTAGATTAAGGTTAGGATATAAGTACCAAGTAGATGTAAACAAAACTAATGTAAAGTGTGTGGCCAGACATATGGCCACACACCAAATCCCCTGACTGTGTGAAGATAGAACCTTAGGACAGGTCCAAGCCACTGTGTGTGAAATGGCACAACACTTCATCTCTAATGGCAAGATAGCCGATATATTAAGATTGTATCCAATTTTTTGCACTAAACTATATCAGTTCTCATGTACAGAACCAAATACACAATGTGCTTGAATACCTGTCACGTAAATGTGAATAACAAAGTAAAGACATACTGCCTCACACGCCTGTACCACGCAGTTGTGAATAAGTTACCTTTATGTATAGAACTAAACAAATAATGTATTGAAATACTGTGTAACATTCAGTGCCATAATATCTGACAACGAGGGTTAATTATTATGACCCTCTGTAAACTCTACTCTGTAATCCTTATGCTACCGCTCACAGGATGAGTGTGGGGTGCACATAAAGAAGGCTGTAAGCGGCAAAATCAAAATGAAAACATCAACTACACACCTCAGCTCCCCACCAACACACACCTCACCTCCCCACACACACCTCACCTGTCTCACCACACCACCACCACACACCACACCTCCCCACCACACACCACACCTCCCTCACCACACACCCACCCCCCTCACCACACACCTCACCTCCGCCAGGCTACACCTCCCATATATCAGTACAAGTGTTGTTATCCTGTGATGTTGTTTTGCTGGAAGAGGGAGCAGATCAGAAGTTGTGGGGTGAGGCGGGCTTGCAACCCCCCGCTTGTATTAACGGCAACACACATAAAACATAAATACCTAACACTGTGTGGAGGTTAATATGTTGCTGTACTCATAATGAAGAAAGTGTACAACAAGGAGGAACCCGCACAGTGTCTGTCTGTAACTTGGTAGATGTAGAACAGTGATGGAACATTCGGTGGTGAAAGAGTAAAAAAAAAAAAAGAATATGGAGACCTCAACATCGACAACAAATGAGGAAAGTGAAACAGCCCAGACTTAAAACAAATGATACAGACGAGGAAATGAAAGTGTCTGGGACCGCTTGAGTTCATAAGTGACGCAGTGAACCAGAGAATAAGAGGAGAAACAATAAATACAACCTAGAATTAAAAGAAAAAATACAAACGATCGGACTTTACAGGGTGTATTCGTAATGAAGGTTTAAAAAATTAGATTATATTAAAACACAAATTGTAGCTATTAAGAGGTCACTGTACAGTATCTTCACGAAGGAGGTATATAGTTGTCAGAATGAACACTGTGACTCCTGTTGTCTCGGTAGTGTTG